AACAAAAACAAACAAAAACCAGAGCGTCCCGGCTGAGGCCAGGCGGGTGAGAAGGTGCGGAAGTGTGCGGACAGAGGCCGAGGCGGGCTCGGGGGCGGCTCACACCAGGTTGTACTCCTTCAGGTTGAGCTGCAGGATGGTGTCCTTGACGGCGGCGAACACGAAGCGGATGTTCTCCGTGTCGGTGGCGCAGGTGAAGTGCGAGTAGATAATCTTGTCGCTGTCGGGGTTCAGGTCCACGAACATCTTCAGGATGAACTCCCGGGCGGCCTGAGCATCCCGCTGGGGGCCTGGGCACCAGGGAGGGGAGAGCTGGTAAGGTCTGCACAGCAGCCCCACCAGGGGACCCCAGGGTGCCGCTCCCCACATGGCTGTGCACCATCCCGACTTCCAGCCCAGCTGCGCAGGTTGCTCCCCCGTTCTCTAGCGGCTCCCCCTCCTGGATGTGCTGAGCAGCTGCCCCAGTGCAGAGGCTAAGCGCCAGCACGAGGCCCCTGGTCCTGCTGCCCCAGGCGTGCCGTGCCACTGCCCCACACCTGCTCATGCCCACCCTTCACAACCATGTACACGTACACACATGCGCGTGTGTGCCCTCACATGCCCCGGGCCTGCCACTCCTATGTTATGGGGAGGAGGTCATGAAGCCTCATGAGGACAGGTGCTGGACAGGATCCCTGTTCCCCTCTGAGGGCCCGTGATGGCCAGGTGCTGTGCACCCACGTAAACACTTACAGGACCCCTTTGGTGGAGCCCAGGACATGGGACAGCCTCCTGAATACACTAATAAATAGGGCACCTCCTGGAGCACAGCCCCACCGCCCAGCTCTCTGGCAGCTGACCCTAGCAGAGAGGCGGTGAGGGGCTGGGTGGCACCCTTGGGGGGAGGTCACCCACACTGTGCGTGCCCTCCAGTTGGGATCCCATGTCAGCCAGGGTGGGGCAGGCGGTGGTCCTAGAGGCTCTGTCCTTAGCCCTGACCTCTGGTGGCCATAGGTGGGGATGCCCAATCCCTGCTCAGAGTTGCTCCCTCAAGACCTGGGTGTGATGTGACTGTGGCCGCGAGGCCACCCGTTACCTGGATTGTCACGCAGGAGTGCGCATGAGGGCACCACCAGAAAGCCCCACCCCCACCCCTGCCATAAGAGGACAAGGCTCTGGGGCCAGGTCTGCCTGAGCTAGCGGTGGGGTGTCAGCCTGGGTGGGCCCCGGCCCGGGGCTCACCGTCAAACTCAGGGAAGTAGTCAACGAGGTGGGAGTAGAGGATCTTGTCCTCCAGCAGGTCCTTCTTGTTGAGGAAGAGGATGACGGAGGAGTTCTGGAACCACGGGTAGGTGATGATGGTCCGGAACAAAGCCTTGCTCTCCTCCATGCGGTTCTGGTGGGCGGCAGGGAGGGCGGGGCCTCACTCCTCTGGGACTCCCCCCCAACACACACACACACACACACACACACACACACTGCCACCCAGCCTCCAGGTCTGTCCTTGGTTCCGAGGGCTTCCCTCTCCACCACCAACACCAGGGAGGGTTCGGGGGTGGGGGGGTGGGGCGGGGGGGACACGACACCCACCTCGTTGTCAGACTCCACCAGGACCTGGTCATATTCACTCAGGGCCACCAGGAACATGATGGACGTCACATTCTCGAAGCAGTGGATCCATTTCCGCCGCTCCGACCGTTGCCCGCCTACGTCCACCATCCTGTTGACAGCGCCAGGGCCCTGAGCAGGTGGAGGCGGCCAGCCTCCGCTCTCCCCCGCGTTCACCCACGGGAACTGCCTCTCACAAGCCCCATGCAGCCGTGAGGTCCTCGCCCTGCTGAAGGGTGGGCTGCCCACAATCTCAGCTGGCGTCCTAGCCGGGGCCACGCCGGGACAGCCCATTTGGAGCTGGGTCTCTGAAAATGTGCTCGGTCAGGTGACCTCGAGGGCACCTTGGAGCAGGAGGGGGGCCTGATCTTCTGAGGGAGGTCTGTGAGCCAGGAGAGACACAGGACATCACAGGAGAACAAGTGCCTGGGCCCCCCGCAGCCGCAGCCGCAGGGCAAGGAAGGAGCCTCAGAGGGAACTGAGCACACGGAAGCCCCGCCTGGGTTTGGGCCTCAGACGAAAGACGGTCATTTCTGCTCCGGCAGGCTAACCAGACTCCAAGCTGGTGACAGGGCAGCACCGGAGGGAGGGCAACTGGGAGTGGAGGTCCTCACTCCCCACCGCCTACCCTGGATCCAATCCTCAATTGTAGGTCCCTACTCTGCTGTCCTACAGCACACAGCTGCACTGGGCATGCCAGAGTGCCCCCTCCTCATGCCCCACGCCCATGCTAATGCAGGAGTCCCCATTTCGTCTCCCATGGCTCCACCAGGTGCCAAGCCCTGAAGGTAGCCAGGAGCTCCCAGGTCCCTCCGCACCTGTCTCTATGGCCATCGGGCTTGGGTTACTATGAGACGTGTGCAGCCCTGTGGGTCCCCCACAGGTGCTGGAGAGGCAGGGGGATGAGCGCCCCTTCTTGCCCTGATACCTGAAGATGATGTTCTCCAGGTCGAAGGGGTATTCAATGATGCCAGTGGTGGGCACTCGGACCCGCAGCACATCCTGCTGGGTGGGCAGGTAGCCCAGGGTGGCGATGCGGTCCACGTCGGTCAGGTAGCTGGAACACAGGCCGTCGTTTAGGGATAGAAGGTGGGTGAATGGGGAAACAACAGATCAGAATGTACTGAAATGTTCCAGAATGCCTGTCGGGGATGCATGGGAACCAGCTCGCTCCCCGGGCCAGTGCCCAGAAACTTCCATCCTGCTCCTCAGAGCACCAGACCCTGTCAGAGCAGCGGGGAGCTCTGAAAAACCGGAGTGAGGTATTGAAGGGGCAAGGGGCACTCGGGGGACTTCGGAAAGGTTTGCCAGGCCAGGCGGGGTGGCACTCACTACTTGGCGGAGTCAGAGAGCTGGTACTCGCGTCTCCGGTCGTAACACTCCTGGATCCCAGGGTCCTCCCATAGCATCTTGATGGCGTTGACATACTGGTGCTCGAATGTCGTCACCTTCTCCACGTCCACCTCCCGGATCAGAAGGGCATTGGCCTGTGGGGGGGCAGGGGGTTGTGAGCTCAGTGCAGGGGCCTGGCAAGCTAGGGTCCCGTGACGGGACCAGTCCAAGCAGGCAGCGTCTCTCCAGCCCCAGAGCTCAGGCTTCCTGTGAATATGCATCAGGACGAGGCAGGAACACTTCAAAAGTCGTCCCGGGGTGCGGGAGGACAATATTCAAAGTACCACCGCAGCTCAAAGGGCAAACCCATCGTCTGGAAGAAGTCGGGCCAGAGTGCTCCTTGGAGGCCAAGACGTCACTGTCTCACACACTCGGGGCGTGTCTCAGCAGAGACCGCCCCTGGAGAAGGGCACCGTGCTTGGTAAAGCGGAGGGGCAGCGAAAGGGAGGACGGCCCCCCGAGGAGATGGACGGGCACTGTGGCTGCCTCCATGTGCCCAGGCACGGGGACCGTATTGTTTCATCCTCTTGCGTGCAGGGTCGGTACGGGTCGGAACCGACACAGAGGCGCCCAATCACAGCAGGAGAGCCCGCTGACAAGCACAGAGACAGCAAGCCAACAGGGCGTGCAAGAGCACGCCGAGAAAAAAACGACCGGCCCGGCCATCGAAGGGACAACAGTGGCTTTCTTCCCGTCTGTGGCAAAGAAGATCGAAGGTCAAAGGCTCAGGGCCACAATGAGTCCAACGGATGGGCAGACCGTGTAACCCTTGGCCCTGCACGAGCCGGAGACCAGGAAAAGCAGGCTGGCACGGCTCTCATCAGAATCCCCACAGAAGGCAGAAGAGAGGGAACAGAACAAAATCCAAGCACATGAACAAAGCCCAGACTTCCCGGTCTGCAGAGACGGTGCGGCCTCTCAGACTGTGGGCCTGTGGTATCCCCGAAGCCTGAAGCTGAGTAGCACACGTGCGTGTGCGCACGGGAAACCACCCCTCAGCTGAATGACAGACAAGCCTAGAGAGCCAACCAGGACACCCGTTAGGAACGTGCTCCTCAGAGCCACTGACCCCGCGAGAATAAAAAGAGGGGCACCTGCCCCAAAACACAGCTCGGAGAGCAAGAGGGGACAGACAAGCGGGGAGAAAGTGAGCAGGTGCTGTCACCTGAGGGGCTGCAACCAACGCCATGACACAAGAGAGCAGGTGGGACACACATGGACACTAGAACCCATAAAAGCCCCTGCAGTTGTATCACCGAGGGCCCCTAACCCTGTGCTTCGTGCGTTCGTGAACAGTCAACAGACATTTGTAGATCCATGAAGGACACAGTCGCTCTCTAACTGCCAAGAACAAGTGGAGGTTACTGTACAAAGTGAAGATGGGGTTCTCTACACTGAAAGAACCACTGATGGATGGG